CTAAAGTGACTGTTACCTATATTTGTGGGTTTTTTGCCCCCTCGTATTCTTTTTTTCCTGTATGTTTGCAATACATTGTTAGCCTTTTGCATATTAATTGGCGTTTGCAATGTCATCTGTTCTCGTACTTGGTTTTGGTGTGTGTTTGTCGGCTTCCTGCTGCACCGTTTCATAGTCTCCAACGGGTTTTCAGCAGGCTGTTGCTAAAGTTACTGGCTTACTCGCTTGTGTGTGTGTTTCGGTGCCTCTCACGTAACTGCTGGCTTACTGCTTGCTTGGGTTTTAGAATGGCAAATATGACTGCCGATGCACAGAATTATGAGAAATGCCATTCTCCTAAATGGCAGGGAATTAATGAAGAAATTTGTGTGAGGATACTCTCAAAGGAGAAGTTTGTTTGCTGTGATTGCTTAGCTACTCATACGTATGTGTATTGCTTCTCTTACTCTGAACATCAGACTGTCCTTACCAGTGCAATAAAGCTGTCTGCTGTTTTAGTGTTAAACTGTTAGGTACTTCAGGTGTTACATAGCCTGTAGGGAAAAATGAAACGACAGTCCCGAAAACAGACTTTTCCAGCTGAAGGGGCTGCACCTGTTTGGATTTTCTTTTGAAACCTGACCCTGGAATATCACATGCAGTGATCAGTTTATGAAAAAAAAAAGATCATCAGCGCTACTTCTTGCAGGTAGCTGGCATACGTCTCAGATCATCTTCGTTTTCTGGCTGTGCTGGTAGTTTCCAGAACAGTACTGGAGTGTTGAGCAGTTTACGTATTTTCCTTCCACTGTCTGGTGGGAGGGGTAGGGAATTGTATTAAAAACAAAACCGTAAAATGTGTCTTATAAATTACGAGCTTGCAAGTTAGATTGCTACCAGTTTTTGCAGATTTGGCTACTTCTGGAAGAGCATAATGTAGTTTATCAAATTAATTGTGATTAATGACTCAGATAATCCCTACCCTCCCCGACCAGTGCTTAGTTTTTCTTAGATGCTCCAAGACTTGACTGTGAGAAATAAACTCTGAATTAAATAATTAAGTATACAGGTTTTAACAAGCGTTTCAAAGTCCTGCAAGATTATAAGTTGCGTTTGCTTGGAATTGTGTTTAAAATCTTGGAAATTTATGTATGAATTGCTGCAATGCTTTTGGAGTTCATGGTGAGCACATGTAGAGAGAAATGAAACACCAAAACCTCCTTTAGTGTAGTATAAGTTTAACTTTCTGTAAAAATACAAACTTCCCTTTGGTAGGTTTTTTTTTTTTTTTAGGGAGTCTCCTTATGTTTCAGCTGAAATAGTTTTGCTCAAAGTACTACAGGTTGCAGCCATAATTAAAAAGCAGGTCATAGCTAATTTGTCACTGTATTTGACCATAAATATTCCTCTTTACTTCTAGAGGAGTGTATCAAAGAAGGGAGGGGGATGGAAGAGAGAGAAGAATAAATATAATTTGTCTGTAGGTTGTTTGGTTAATTTGGAAGGGATTATCATGTGGCAAAAGGGTAACAATCCTTCTCCTCACTAGTGTGGAAAAAGTAATTTTAACTCATGCCCTGGTTTTAATAGATGAAATGTTCATTTTTAGTGACTTGTTTTCCCGCACACATAAGCTGTATAGGTTGGTTGGGTTTTTTGTTTTTAATAAGAGATCTTAACATGACTTTGCATAAAAGGAGGATAAAGCATATGTATGTATGGAGTGCTGAAAAGTTAGTATCTTAAATAGCTTTAGCTCTTTCAGGATTGATCTGACAGACTGTCTGGGTCCTGTGACCTATTAGCTGAACTTTTTTCGCTAGTACCTATCAAACCTAAATGTTTCTCGAGTCTGTTTTAGAAAATAATGAAACAATAGAGCTTAAAGCAGAATAATAAAAGCTGTAATTTATTTCCATTGAAGTTGTTCTGTGTGGGGGTGAAGTAGGTGGGTCTTCCATTTCTGTCCCTAATGACCTCAATCTTCCATCATTCCTCTGGGATTTAAGGGCTCAAACTCTGGCACGGAATTAGGTCTTCTGTTATTAAGTCCCTGCTCAGGAAGTAGCAGAAAGAGTGGAACTTTCTTGAAGTGTCATTGCTGTTAGGCTATTTGTAATTACATTTAGTAAGCTTGCCCTGCATTGTCTTAGTTTTCTATAGGTTCGCTGTTCAGTTCTTGCAACTACTCTGACTGTGGTTCGTGTGTTTGTAAAAGTTGAGCGCAATTTATTTAGTGCTTGATGCTGTAAACTGGAATCATGCTTTTGTTAACAACACAGATAGTCCTGAAACCATTTCCTGTAACAAATTAATTAAATGAGATTGTTAATGGCATTGGCTCCAGCACACCAAGAGGTTACACAGAGGGGCAGCAGTGAAATTACTTGAAGCGTTCATGCCACGTGTCCCCATTGTACTTGCGATGTAGCGCGTGAGTTCGAGCGGCCTTTCACCGCTGGTTTCACAGCGATGAGTCCACTGGACGCAGCTCTTCAGTGGCAGCTGTATGCGGCGAGGTGCGCTGCTGTACGGAAGGAAAGGTCGACCAGGACTCTGCAGTGTAGTGGGTTGCGCAACAAGTTGCCAGGGGAGACGTACTCTAACTGGCTTCCGAAGAAGAATATGACGGAGATTAAATATGATATGATTAAAATAATTCAGGCTTTGGCTGGTGTGTTGCTTTTAGCATAGTAGAAGTAGGTGTTGGTTACAAGTACAGAACGATCTTTTGTGTAAGTATAGAAATGCCTGAGGCTGTGGATTTATTCCTGGTTATCAGTCAGCATTTGCAACTGGAAACTCTGGTTTTTAAGAGTTTGCTGGAATGGATGTTGTACTGAAGCACTGGTGTACATTTGAATGTTCTTTTGGATGATAGCCAAACCTCTTTAAGTAGATAAAAATGTATTCAGGTAACTTAATAGTGTATTGTTTTTCATAGAGGACAGTGTTAAGACAGTGAAATGATCAAGGAGGAGACTGATTCCCTATATAAAATTACAGACTGTGAATAATTTTTTGCAGTTGAAAAGTATTGTCTTGACCTCTTTGTAGACATTTTTCTCTGAGGTTCAACCTTCTAGCTGTGTCAAACTGTCAAAATAAAATGTATTGGTTTAACACTGATGTTGTAAAAGATGCTATGGTAGTAAAGAGTTAAGTGCCGTGATGAGCAACAGTGTTTTCAGAAATTGCCTGCAATAATGTTTTTTGAGAAAAATGTAGTAAAGATGTTGCAGAACATGCTAAATATCTGTAAATGTCAAGTCCAGCATCCTGATAAGTGACTTCTTTTCACTTGAGGGTGTTTGTCTTTTCTCTAGTTCTATAGAAGATATTTACGTGCCGGTGCCTCTCCCTGGTCTCGTAGCAATGCAGAGTGCAGGTTAACAAGTTAATGTAATACGTGAAGATTTTTAATGTTTATTTTATACTTACTTAACGTGTTTCAAAAGCTATTTAAATTTATCAGGCTTGTTTTCCTTCTGCTGTGAATTGAAGACCATTCTGTAGTGTAACCATAGACTTATTTTTCCAGATCAAAGTATTTCAGAACATGTTCAACAGGAGAACACTTCACTATAGAGGTGAGTGCATAAATTTCTAGTGATTTTTTTTTTAAAGAAAAAAAAAGTGGAAAAAGCTGAATTCTGGTAATGCCTTTTACACTTTCTGCAGTTTATGTACACTGAAATATTTTGGGTTATTCCGGACAAAATTGATGCTGCACTGGATGGCAAGTTAGTGGTTCTTATAGCACCTCAGAACATTAATAGATCATCTCACTTCAATCTATCACTTGGAAAGCAGAGAAGTATCTGCTGTGATCTGATACTTGGCACCAGAGCATTCTAAAGTCTGCCTATCGCATCTTACATCGCTGCTGTGTTGGGAGTGATTTTTCTTTTCTGCTTGTATAAGTGCAGGATACTCAGTTCTAGATAGCAGGATCATGAATCTGATTTTACAAAAAAACTGGAATCTGATGAGGTTACTTTATAGTTGCATTTGTAGTCCAGTTTGTTCACTACAGAGGTCCTTTCTCGGCCACCGAGTATCACCACTTTTTGCCAAGGGTACTGTAAGGTTAACTTGTACAAGCTGAGATTCTCAGAATAACCTGGTTTACTTTTTCTGAGTGTTCCTTATGGTCTAAAAGTCCTAGACCTTTCAGATTGCCCCCATTACTGAGAATAACATTAATAGCTGTAATCACTGCTTTGGCTTTGAAGAAAGGGGGCAGACGTGTACGGTGGGGGAAATCTGTTTCGGCGCACAACTTCCAGTTGTGAGAGAGTGTTCCTGCAGCAGAAATACGATAGGGAAAAGAAGCTTCTGTCCTCCTCCCAAATTGTTATTCCCATTGTGCTTACAGCAGTTAGTCAGTACGCAGGTCAATAAGGAGTCCTGCTGTAGGTACTGACCTCCATGTTTGATGTATTGCCCACGTGTAAGATGACCGTACTGAAAATAATATGGAGAATTTCCATTTGCGTTGTTTCCATGGGATAGTTGAACTTCAGCTGGATGAGTTTATGCAGCTGAGAGTGCTTTGTGTATTCTTGCCTGGTTTGGGCTTTTTTTTTGGGCTTCCTAACATTAAGCATTATGTTGCCTTTATTGACCTTTAGTTTCTGAAGTGCAAAGCTGGGAGGATGGGCTGTTGTTGCTGCTTTGCTTTTAGAATTCTGGGTAGAAAGTAACTCTTGTTTTCTGTAAATTAAGTACATCTTCAAATGCTTTTTGATAAGCATCGCAGTTGCCATGCAAAGTAGGGGTTACATGCGCTATACCCCTTACACCTTCTGCATTTTTAAATTGAGTGGGTGCTTTGGTGTATGTCAGAGCTGTACCGTTCCTTCCACTGTTTTTATTATAACGCTTCAGATGCACAGAATTATTAGCACTCTTATGAGCTAATGAGATTTCATTTTTATCAGGGCCCTAACATAAGCTGTCGTGCAATACATGAATGTTATCTTAATTTTAAGACTCTTCTCCTTTTAGGAGACTGTAATGTTTAAGAAAAGAAACGTTGGTAAGAAGATAGGTCCTACTCTAAAAGTAATACCTTCTCTGGAAGTAGGAGCTTTCATAAATGATGTTACAGTCCCATTGTTGTCATTGGAGTAGTGTTTAAATATGTAATCATATTTGCTGTATGTGTTTAGTGACTTGTTGTATTTTACTGCTTTTTCTCTGCAGTTTGAGAACCTAGTGGAAAGTGATGAGGTAGGTGCCTGGATCGTAATGTTAAACGTCCTAGTACAGCCTTTAAAAATGGTTCCCAGATCTGGATCATCTTCTCACTTTATGCTATGTTGTAGACTTAAATTGCAGGTTTTTTTCCTTTGAGTTTTGCTTGCTCTAGGAATGAATATTTAACACTTTGGGAGAGATGAAGACCTAAGAGAAGACAGGTATGGGGGGAGTATGGGAAGTAACCCTTTGAGGAAGAGAGCACTATGGACATTAGGAAGGCAAAAAGAAGAAAAACGAGGGGAGGGGGAAAGGTGAGGGGGGACGATGTGAAGGAGAACTTGCTCCTGGTATAACTCTTCTATAAGACTCAGCAAATGCTCTCTATTTGAGAACATAAATGGACATGGGTTGTTTGCTAAGGAGAGTTTTGGGAGTGCTCTGACTTTACAGTTATGGGTAAACTGGCTGAACAGTGCTGGAGGAAAACTGAAGTTGGCCTTAAAACTTCACTCTTACAAATTTAATACAGCTTGATAATGGGTGGGACACACATCGCATTTTAAATACCCTGCCCTGTATTTAAAAACAAGAGGACTAATAGTTTTGTTCCTGAAACACACCACTGGAATTTTTTTTTCAGGTGGAGTACTTATTTGTTTTACTTAGCCACTTCAGTTGATTGCATAACAAGATACTTTTTTTTTTTTAACGTTCCAAGTGAAAAGAGGGGATTTCCTGCCCCTTCCCACCCCTCTTGTAAAATCAATCTATGGGAGAAACTATAGTTTCACGTGTTTTTTTTTTCCATCTGGAAATTGATTGATTGATGGGATTCTCAAAAACTCAGACTTTGTTCTGTTTTCTGAACAGGGGGAAAGCCCAGGAAGCAGTCACAGGTAAGACTTTGAGATTCAGGACCTCTCCTTCACTCTGCTCTACCACTGTGACTATTAAATTTTTCACAGTTCCTGTCAAAACCCTTTCTGTCTTTTTAGTTGTCAGATGTGTGGAAAGAATACACATCAAACTAAACTGAAGGGTTAACCACGTCAAAACAGTTTAGATGATAATGCGTCATGCAAAAACTGTACAAGACAGTTAAAACAGTATGTTGCAAAGAGAATCTTTATTCTTCTTCCCAGGGTCTGCATTTAATGTTACACGGTTGTTAGTGCTACAATTAGGTGAATCTGTGGTGAGCACACTAGTATTTATGTAAGCAGTAGGAACTTAGAGGTCTGCTCTGTAGGAAACATATGAAGGCCCCGAAGTATATCGTTTGGTTATTAAGTTCTAGACATTTTGTCTTACTTAAGTTTGATAGTTCCCAAAATGTTGTTCCCTGTCAATGATCGCAAAGAAGCGATGTAGCAAACATTATAATTATTATAATGCTTTTATGGTCTTGAATGTTAGATGCGTAGAAGTAGACGTAACGCAGGCAACAGATGAAAGTGGAACAATTTACAATTAGAGGACCAAAACAAGTAAGGAAAAAAGTGAGATTTATCCTGCAGTGATATTAACCCTTGTATTTCAGTAGTTCAGTTAGCAAACAGTGTTTTGAAAATATGCTTTCTATGAAGATAGAAAAAATGCTTTGTAAGAGTAAGGAGGGACAGCACTGTCCTGGGTAAACTGGGACTTTGGAACTCTGTTTGTAGGAGGAGCAGGCCAGAAGCACAGCCTGTTGAATTGGCGCTGAAGCACCAGTCGAGAAACACTATATGGATACGTTTAAGTGCAACCTAGGCTTGTTGTGTGTAAATAATAGATGGAGTCTGTCTGTGTTTCTCCCATGCTTTTAGACCTCTGACTGAGGAAGAAATTGCTGACTTAAAGGACAGACATTATGACTCCATAGCTGAAAAGCAGAGAGTCGTCGATATGAAACTTCAGTCAGAGGTAAGCGGTTACGATGGGTAGTATGGCATGGATAGTTTTTGTTTTCAAGTAGTTAAGGTCAGCCACGAACACAAGGAGATTCCATTTGCATGAATGAAACAATTGGGTTTTGTTCATCAGTTAAATTTTTTTTTTTTAGTCTACAAGATAAGCAAAGAGATTGCTGCACTTTTGATGCTGCATTTGCATCAGAGACTGCTTTTTTTTAATAGGCTCCTAGGCTTCTAGCTGAAAAATTGAATGAATAGGCTGGCTCTCACGGACTTGTGTTAAATTTGAATTTTTTTAATTGCTTGGGTTGTTTAATTTTGTTGTTTTTTTGTTTTTGTTTTTTTTTGTTTGTTTGTTTTTTCTGAAAGGCAAAATGGGGAGTACATTTGATTCATTGTTTCTTGTGCTGTTTTTTTTCCAGAGCTTTTTCTTCAGGAAAAAAACCCGTAATTTGTCATTTTGTTTTAGTGTGTTGCAGCAATTAATGGAGTATGATGTGGAATACGATGTAGAAATTGAGAATTATTTTTAATGACGTACTAATGAAATATGCAACTGAAAAGATTTAAGTCTCTCACTGTGCAGTTCATAATGAAATGCAATATGCATTTACAGCAATTCACTAGTAATTATGTTTATTCAATAGGGTAACGCTCAGTTATCTAAATTTCTTAGGATGTTTGGTGGTGGGAAGCTGTTAGATTCAGTTAATGAAGGAAAATGTTTTAGCTATGGTCTATTTTATTTTATTTTTATTTTCTAGTAGCTCTTCTTTTGTTTTATTGAACTTACAAATTTATTCATAGGAAGATAGACAGGTTCTGCTTTTGTTAACCATTACTATTTTGTTTATATACAGTTAGCCTTACAAGAGGAGAAGTTAAGAATAGAAGAGGAGGCTTTATATGCTGCACAACGTGAAGCAGCCAGGGCAGCAAAGCAGAAAAAGCTCTTGGAGGTGAGGGGAAAAAGACCCCAATATATATCAGAGCTTCTGTTTCTATGTATGCAGACTTTCCTAATATCCTTTAAATCTCAGGAAACATAATGAGGAAATGGCTTTGGCTTCTACATTCCAGTAGAGAAAGAAATACACGATTTGAAAGTACAGCTGACTGGAACAGCCGAAAATGATCAGAATTGTTTGAAACAGCTTATGTTGCTGGGCATAGATTTTGAATGAGAGATGTATGATTTTAATCTACAGTTAGCTTAACAGACTTCTTACGTTACATATTGAAGTTACTGATCTTTAATGTGAAGTGATCTGTGGTGGCTTTCTAGTAAAAAAACCTCTGAAATTAAGCACATGCTATGACACCATTTAGACTTGTAAAATGCACTTTATATGTTTGTGCACTTACTTATCTCTGTGGTTTGTGTTAACATGAGGATACGTGTTTCTGAGTCATCTGAATTTACGATTGGCCCTGCTTGAGCAGGAGGTTCGACCAGATGACCTCCTGAGGTCCCTTGCAACCTCAGTTGTTTTATCATTTTGTGATTTGTGTGTGTAGTAGCCAAAATGCAGCAATGCCTTAATGGTAGTCTTTATTTAATATATCTGTGCCTACTTTCAGATGTCTGGTGTCCATGCTTTTGGAGCTTGGTCAAGCAAAACAAATGCCACGTTATGCTTTCCCTGCTTTTTTGAAAACAGATGCTGTTCTGTGTCCGGACAGCATTTATTACTGATGGTTTTCACGTTGCGGTTCAAAAAGTTTGATATTATCAGTGTATTTAATATTTTTGCCACCTTAATAAGCTATTAAAGTCTGTGTTCTTACACAAATTTCAGGTTGCCATAAATGTGTGTGTTAGAACATTTTCACTTTTCACTCTCTGTTCATTTTTAATGTGTATGGCTGCAGCTGTAGCATGTTCAAGGAAAACAGTCTGCTAGATATGTGTTCAGTTGGAAGTAAATTTTCAAAAGTTCAGACTTAGATTCGTGGAAAAAGTCTCAAGTCTATACTAGGTGTAGGGGAGATGTTTAACCCTAGTGTATTGTCTATGTTCAGAAGGGAGTGAGTGGAAAACTCTTATTTCCAGACTGATAGTGATGACTGGGTCTTCATCTAATATTTATGTTGCCAAGTATAGGTCTCATTTCACATTTCTCTTTCCATCCTTTTGTCATTTGGTGTGGGAGGGTTAATTCTGTCTGACTTTTTTTTGCATGCCTTTTCCTTTTTTTTTTTTAACACTTCTAGTCTGTATCAAGTCAGCAAAAGTAGATTGTTTTATAGCTTTAACTATTTTTGTTGAGGTTCTGTGCCAGAAATGCTGTTTTTCTTGTCTTTCAGTATTTTTAATATGCACTTCGTTTTAGTCAGGGACAAAGATAGAATGCATTACAGAGGTTTTACTTTCCTCCTCTCATAAAATTAGTACCACTTACCTCCTTCACAAACAACCCCCCCAAGCCCCATAAGGATTTCTAAGGAAGTGTTTTTGTGTAGATATGCATCAAGCATTTAACCTTTCTAAATAAACTAGAAGCCATTTTTGAATACATAATTGTCTCTTTGCTGTTTGTGGGCAGAAGTCTTCTAAATGAGAAAATGGCTTTTTGATTCAAGAATGGCATCCAGTTAAAACTAACTTGGCTTGCTGATGTTGCCCTGCTAAATGGCAGGGTTTGTAACAGTGGAGAATTTTACTATGTGTGTATCCTGGAACTTACAGTGCTAGATATTTGGATGTGACCTGGCAAAGGGGGTAGATAATTTAAATCTGATATTACATAAGTATGTGAATCTTCAAAGAAAATTGTTGCAAATGTCAGTAATTGATTTTTACAGACTTGTTAACTATGTTCTAACAAACTCCTGTCGTCTCCTCCCTGCCTACTTCAGTTTTCTCACCTGTAACTACTGTTATGTTATATTTCTACTTCCTCTAGACCTTTCATTTTCTTACTGGTTTTAATCTGCTTATTCGGATTCTCATTTAAATACCCAAGATAGAGAGTGTGCCAAGAAATGAAGCCATCATCATCTTGGGATTGAAAAATACCAGCTGATCCAATGCAGTTCTCTTGCATGACTATTTACCCAGCAAAGAGCAATTCTTAGATGAACTCAAAGTTGACATTAAAAATTCTGGTTTATTTACCCCGCTTTTCTTGTGCAGGGACAGATCCATTAAGGCTGCTAATAGATGACCCCCCCCCCCCCGAAAATACAGTAGCTAGACACATCAGACTTGTTTATAAAACAAGCTCGTACATTTTTATCTTAGTCTTTGTCATGATTGGTGAACAATTACAGCTTCATAACTGATTTACCTGTAACCACATAGTTGATGGGCCCAGTTTTTTTACTCTCATTTTTTCAGGGCAGGGAAGAGTAGCTTTAGACAACTTTGAAATGCTAAAACTTAAGCAGAACCCTCCTTTTCCATGACATCTGTTGTTCCTCTTGTAACTACAAAATAAATGCATGTATGGCTTGGGTCTTGCATGTTTCATTCTGTTTTTAGCTAATGATACCATGAAGGCTTTCTACCTTAGGAGTGTAGAGGCATTAAAACGTTTGGCCCCGCAAGGCAAGCAAGCTCTTATTAATATAAATGAAGCACTTAGTGCTGACACAGGCAACTGGAGGAGATGGCGGTATTGCTTTGTGCAGGGATAGAAGGACATGTAGGAAATAATTCTTTCGAAATGGTAGGCTGACTGTTGTTTGCGCACGGAGCAACACAAGCCAAACGTAACCCAGGTGTTAGTTGTGCATTGAAAATAGCCATGGCTTAAGAAGAGAAGACAATAGAGAAGAGGACAGATGCAGTCACGACTGAGGGGGTGTTCACGTGTAGACAAACAGATGCTTTTCTTTACTTTTTTTGGTGCATGAAATAGGTTACAATGTTGAGAGCTCTATTCACTAAAGCGACCTTCTTTTCAATGGAGAGATTTCTCAGATTAAAAACAGCACCACTTGCATGTAACGGTCCCTTCAGCATCATAAAATTTGATCTTTATGTGAACGAAAGTCAGTCTTTTCCCGAGTTATACTTAGACTGCTCCAAGGACCAGGACAGTGCTCCTTCTAATGGCACAGTTAAGAGAATGCTTAGTGTATTGAGTATGTTACTCTGAGTGATTGCATTCAGCCTTTTCAACAATTTACTTCTTTCGATAGCAACGTAGACAGCAAAGGATAACACAGAGAGCGCATGCAGTTAATAATGGAGACTATCAGAGGTAAGATATAAAACTTAATTAATGATAATTGAGAATCGTGACTCTTTTTACTCCTGTTCCTCATCTCCCCTTCACAAAAAAAAAAAAAACAAACCCCAAACAAACCAAAACTCCACATGTTTTTCAAACCTTAACATACGCAGCATTTCTGGGTCAGATTTGTTTTCATTCGTCATTCTTTTATTCACACTGAATAGTTACTGAATGCAAACTGGGTACCATTAATCTGCAAAAGCAGAGGGTAGATTGCATTCATTCTGGTTTTCACTGTAGTTATTAGACTGGTGTGTAGAAAATGGAACGTGCTCCCAGCTACTAATATGATATACATTTTTATATATGCACATAGAAAATGTAGTATTTTATATTAAAAAGGTGTTTATATGTAAAATTTCAGCCAATATAAAAATATTTTTACTATTTGGAACCCTCTTTGAAATGCCCAGTAAAAATACACACTAATCAAATGGGGAATCGAAGGGTTTATATAGTCTGCCTGTTTATTCATCAACATTTTTCATTTATTTCTCTTCACTCTCACCAGCTCTGTTCAGTGTTAAGGGAAAAAATAAAAAAAAAACCCATAAAAAAAGCCCCAACGATATTTACTGGGGAAGGGTATTTGAGTTTAGAAAAAGCTCTAAAATCAAACACCTATGTTGGAATGGAAGAGAAGGGGGATAGGAGGGATTCTGGATTAGGGAAGTACAGTTAGAAAAGGAGTTGTGAAAGCTGAGGTTTTATGGCAGGAGTGGGAACTGGGCAGATTTTAGAAACAAAAGACTGCAGTAGCAGGATTTCACTAGTTAAAAAAGTTAGGTTTTTAGTTAGATTTTTCACTAGTTAAAAAAGGAATTGAAAATTAAGGAGGCATTATCTAAAATGGCGAAGGACGAGAGGGGAAGAGTTCTGTGACAGAAGTTAATTAATTTTTAACTGAAAATACTACTAAAAATGGAGCAGAAGCTGAGACTGGGAGAGGATAGGATGAGTAGGAATGGAAAGGCATTTTGTAGATCATTTTATAAAGATTTTAGTTAAAGGTTAAGCGCTTTGTAGTGTGGAACTGGGAGGCATGTGGGTTAACGTCTCTTTTATGGCATCCATAAAGGTTTATACAGCTAAAACCAATACATGCGTTGTTCTTACAGCTCTGTGGCAGAGGAAGATTTTGATTCTTTCTTAAAAAATACAAAATTCCAGTATGAAGCTTTTCGAAGTAGTAGTAAGTCTTCCTTTTCTTATGCATGTCTCGAAATGTTAAGTGACTCTGAGGAGCCCAGAGTGCTTTTCCTGTTTCTAGTTAAGCATAATTTATTTCTATTTTTGTACACACACTGTATAAAACGTGTATACATATTCTGTATAAAAAAACCTGAAAGAGAATTCCTTTCCGCTCTAATCCCTGATGCTTCAAGTGTTTGAAAAACATAGCATATACAACTTGTGCTGCAGCCATTCCAGTTCTCAAAAGCAAGTTCTGTAAGCAAACAAGTCCTGTGCATGGATTTTATTTTATTAAGGCTTTCCACCTATTTTTGTGGAAGCAACATCAATGCAGTGTGTGTATAGCTTTTTTTTTTTTTAAACCATATCTCAGCAGAATAATTAGAATCATAATAATGGTTTATTTTTTTCTCATTAAGAGCAAGAGGATTTGGCTGCCTATATTTAAAAATTCCACTAACAATTCAGAGGAAAACAATTTTATGAACTTATATCCATAAGTTTTGATGACAGTACGTGATAGTCACTAAGAAGTTGGAGGACTGATGGTAATTTTTGGGAAACACTGCCTGTAGTTTGGGGTTTTTTTGGGGGTGGGTTGGCTTTTGTTTTTTTGGGGGGTTTTAATTTTTTTTCTTTTCAAGTCTTCACACAATTCCAGCTTACAGCTTACTAAATTCTTCTATAGTTCTAATTAGATAGTATTGCTAGATATCCTCTTGTAATATCTTAGTGATGTTGACTATTAAAAAGCTACTGTATACTCTTTGAAGTGATGGAGTGCTTTTTCAAATGTTTCAGAGGTTTGAAGGCCTCAAATAGCACAATAAAAACTTTCTTTGAAAGTTTACTTTTGCATACTGAACCTCAAATTCAAGTACATTTATCAATTAAAAATACTTTTTTCTATATAGGACTTTCATCCGATGCTACAGTGCTGACACCCAACACAGAGAGCAGTTGTGACTTAATGACCAAAACAAAATCGACGAGTGGAAATGATGACAGCACTTCATTAGATTTAGAGTGGGAAGATGAAGAAGGTATTTAGTCTGCCATTCAGTTTCATTCTGTACTTGCAAGTTAAAAATTCTGACAGTTTAAACTATGTTATTGTAAATTTGTTGTTTTCAAAAGGGAATGTGATTTAAAACTTAATTCTGATGGAACTTCTGTCAAGTATGTAATGATTAAACTGTAAATTATTTTTACCTAGAAGATTGCTTATTTTGATAAATGTAGTTATCTGTCCAGTAAAGGAATTAACTTCTTTGGATCCTTCAGTAAATGTCTTTTCCTGCATTTTGTGGAACGGACTTGTAAACGCACAATAAAACTAATGGTAAAGAAATGCTGCCCTCTTGTGAGACAGTAGCAGACGGAACAGCTTGTCCTTGTTTTAAAATGTGGAAGTTGGACAGGAGTCTCTCGCTGAAGTATTTGGAGAAGCATTGTTTCATTAAACCCTTATTACTCTTATTGTAACTTCTGCTGGAAACTTAGATACTCACCTGGAATGCAGACCTATCCAACTGTCCTAATTGTTGCTGCTCTTTGTTAAAAATCCTTTCTGTTCTGTGTAGTAAATCTGCAAAAGCTCTTGTCTTTGTTTCAGAGTTAATCCAAAATCTTGAGACCGTGGCTCTCGAAGCTTGCCAAAAATAAGCTAGGAGTTATTTTAGCCAATGCATAGCAGAATTTTTTTTTGCTTTAATAGACTGGGCTTTTTGACAGTCTGTGTGTAGTTTAAATGTTCAGCACTGTCAAGAGCACTAAAGCATCTAGTTGAGAAACGTGTTTTGAAAGACTTTGACTTTCACAGATTTCCCTAGAAATACCTAGCATCTTTTTTTATAGCTAGTGTGTGCAAGAGCTGTTAGCATTCTATAGGAACTGCAGCTAGGGCAGGATCATGCATGCTGAAGTACACTGGATTTTACTTTGAGAATCACTAGCACCGCTGCAGAACCAGTGTTCTGGGAACTCTGTAGTCTATGCTGTCCTTAAGAAATGGGAAAACAGCATTCTTTGCTTTCTGCAGATTGAGTTGTCGCCCCTCTCATGTCCTAGTTTAATGTAACATATTTCTAAATAACTATTGAAAACCAGATGAGAGCAAGATTCAGTCTTTACCAAGCATACCCGTATGCGAAATTATCTTGTTCATTGGCGTGGTTGAGGGTCTTGTTGCATTCACAGAATCACTAAGTTGGAAAGGACCTTCAAGATCATCAAGTCCAACCATTAACCCAACGCCACCATGTTCCCTAAACCATGTCCTGAAGCGCCACGTCCACACTTTTTTTTGAACACTCACAGAGATGGTGACTCCACCACCTCCCTGGGCAGCCTGTTCCAATGCTTGACCACCCCCTTGGTGAAGAAATTTTTCCTAATATCCAATCTAAACCTCCCCTGGCGCAACTTGAGGCCATTTCCTCTCGTCCTATCATTAGTTAGTTGGGAAAAGAAACCAACACCTACGTTGCCACAACCCACTTTCAGCTTGTATTCGGGATTGTATTATCCTTGTAATTGGGAAATTAATTCTGAGTAGAGAATTAACAGTCTGTGATGTTTGCTATTTATTGTTCTCTTACCACTTTCACGTTGACTTAACTGTAATTATTCATCTGGTTTTGAGGTAACTAAATAGTAAGTGCTGGGAAGTGCTAAAAACTGCAGAGAACATAATTACTGCGTACTTCCCGTTCTGATTCCTGCTAGCCTGTGCTATACAAAGGGGAATAATGTTTGAGTTGGTCATTGTGATGGTAGAGCATCTGTTCTCCCATGCAACCTCGGTTCCTGAGCAGAAGAGATGGTGAGACACCTATGGAAGATGGCTTGTGATTATGTGGTCATTTGAAAGAAGTCCTAGTCAATATTGCGAGGACTCTGAGTAGTTTTTAACCATTCGCGGTAGAACTGCCCCAACTTAAGCACACTAAAACCATCTCCCTGAAGGGGTTGACTGCTTGCTCAGAGTAAGAGGTTTCGTTACTGTGTGTGCTGTCAAAAATCTACGGTGGGGACGTAAGAGCATGTGTGTGGGTGTAGTGGTCTGGGATATTAATTTAAGGTCTAGTCACACATTTTTATTATTAGTGAATCAAGTTGTATGGGGGCTGAGTACAAAGTCCAGAAGAACCAGTGTTTTGAAAAGGGTATTAGCGTTTTAAAAAACCCAACAACTAAGAGTAGTAACTAAAAGATGATGCTGCTTGACTAAAAAGTTGCCCAATTAGGAGGTTCTTAACAGGAACTGCCAAGATCCTGAACTAGGCATGGTTATGTACTACTAATGGTAGCGTTTAATTACAGAATCATAGTTGTTATGTACTGGTAGTACTGAAATGGGATTGTGGATTGGAGCTGTCTGAGCACAGCAGATGCATAGCTTGTGCCCTGCAATGTTACAGTTTTTTATAAAGAGTATTTTACAGAAAGAAAAAGGCTGTGAGGAGAAAATGGAAATGGTAACTGTCCTGGATTAAATCCAGATTTTCTTGATATAGTGATTCTGTTTTCATTCGTTGGGGTCAGGTACAGACAACACACAAGGAACTTGTAGTACTAATGTTGTATTGGTATTTTTGGCAGTGTATCTTGAGGTGGATGATAGCTTCAATGAGCCATTGGTACCAAAGGAATAATGAAGTTGAACATAGTTACATTTTGAAAGACCTGTGAAACATTAACAGAAAAATCTATCATTTGAGTCTGATGAAGGGAAACATTTACCTCTTAGATATTTGTTTTTTTTCCTGTGGCTTCCTCCATCCACCAAAAGTTGTGTGTTTTACTTCCAGTATGTAACTTTTTAATTATAATCAATTAGTTAGCTAGTTACTTCACATTTAAAAGGGAAATTTATTTAAGAATGTACGAGGGGTCCAGTAAGTTAGAAGAGTATCGTAAATCCTCCCCTTTTTCCTTTCCAGTGCTGTGGGAGGGTTTTGATACACCATGAGACAGTCAGTAATTACTGACAAAAAGCATCTCTGATGTCTTTGTGCAGTTTTCTGACCAATGTTTTGCCTTATCTGGTGTGAAATTAAATGTGCCTTTTCAGACAAACTCAAGACTTTTCCTAGACAAAAACATCCAATATCTATCTAAATTTTAGCTGCTGTTTAAAATGTTTCATGTGATGATTTTTCAGTAACAGGAGTATTACAGCCAAAACTGACTGTAAACTATGGATTTCACATGAACACCCACCACCAGAAACAAAACGGTGATGCTCAGGAGTGAAATTACCAGAGCCTGAATCTCTAAAGCATTCTTGTAATCTCTTCTAATGCTCTAACATAAATGTTTAAGGCACTTCCTTCAAAATGATATCTTTCTCATAAATTTGTCTTAAATTGCAGGCATGAACAGAATGATTCCAATGAGAGAACGTTCCAGAACAGAAGAAGATATACTCCGGGCAGCATTGAAATTTAATAGCAAGAAGACGGGGAGTAATCCAGCTTCGGCCTCTGACGATTCTAATGGCTTGGAGTGGGAGAATGACTTTGTTAGTGCTGAAATGGATGACAATGGCAATTCAGAATACGCTGGATTTGTAAATCCTGTATTAGATTTGTCTGTATCAGATGTAAGGATATCTGAGTCTGATCATCAAGACAGGTAGTGGAACTGCGTGGCCCTTGCTTATGACCAAATGTTGGAAAGTGAAATAGAATGTAGAAAACCAATTTGCTCTTTTCTAACGTGGTTCCCTTTTTCGTACAAATTAGTCGGCAAGGAATGGGAATGACTTGCTATCTGAATTAATTCAGAATTAAGTGCAATTTTATCATCTACCTTCTAAACTTTTATGAAAACCGCGATAATTCTATTGTGTATATTTCTGGATATTGGGATTTAATATAAAATTATCTGCACTAACTTAAGCTTCATAGCTTGACATATCTATATTTTAACTAGCCTTTTTTTCTGGATGATGTTTCTACTGATTTTGTTTTTAAAATTCATCATTGGCCTAACATCTCGGAAACAGTCTTACGTAATTTATCTAATACTTGAATATAGAAAAATAATTTTAAATTTATTTTATTTCCAATATGTGCTTTTTGACTTGTTCTTTAGCTACTTAGAGGGTGTACTTAGCCAGCTGCAAAATGAGTTTCAGATGTGGTAAATTGCAGTTTTTCCCTGTCTAGCTTTTAGTCTTCCTAGCCTTCTGT